AGTAAAGTGTGGGTGCATAACAGGACAGCGATTTCAACACACGCGGATTAGGAGAAGTTGCGAGCAGCAGAGGAACTGCATGGCTGCAGCTTAAATGCTCCCCTCTTCTTCAGGTGGACCAATCAGCAGGTTGAAGGTAGCCAATCAGCTAACGGGCACCACCTGCTTGCTCACTCACACACACTCACACACAGGAGGGAAACATATCTACACACAAATGACATAACGACCCAGGGTCGTAACATTTGGTAAACATTATGGCGTTGGCCTCATCCTTTTTTTTGTGTGCCTGGTTTCGTTGTGCAGTATTTCAACATCTTTCTGTTTTTATATTTAATCTGCTCTGTTTGTTTCCCCCAGCTGTGGGATAATGGCCACAGACACGTTGGATGCATACACCGGAGGTCTGTACATGGAATATCAGGAGGATCCTTTCATCAACCACATCGTGTCAGTGGCAGGGTGGGGAGTGGAGAACGGTGTGGAATACTGGATTGTACGCAACTCCTGGGGAGAGCCATGGGTAAGTGTTGATCTAATGAAGAACTTCATACAGTGCAATAGGATGTCACTTCAAACCCTGGAAATCTTGTCAATTCAAGAACAAATAAAATAACATGTTTTATTTATTAAGAGATTAACAGGAAGCGCAGTTTATCAGCTACATTGAGACTGTGTGGATGTTGCCTGATCCTGGGCTTCCTTTAGCTAAACTCTGACGGCTGTTTTGTCCATAAAATGTCAAGAAAATACAAATTGGCCTTTTTGTAGTGTAATTTTCCAAACTTGTGTTGATATCTTTAAATTCATTGCTGTTCAACTAACAAAACTAATATTTATTAAAGATATATCATTTGTAAAAACTTGAATGGCCCCAAACTATGTCACCAAACTCTCTCTTTTGTTATTGATTTGACTGAGACCCGCAGTGGCAGACAATTACATATTTTTTGTTAAAGTTACTACCACTAACCAGCACAGCCTCACAATTGACAAGCAAAAACTCTTAAGCATTTTTACTTGAAAAAGTATAATGATGATTGACCAATAATCCAAAATTGTGTCTGTTTCACCCCCCCCTCTCCACAGGGGGAGAAGGGCTGGCTCAGGATCGTGACCAGCGCCTACAAGGGAGGAAGTGGAAGCACCTACAACCTGGCGCTGGAGGAGGACTGCATGTACGGAGACCCAGTGGTCCCCAAGGGATATCTGTAGATGAACCAGCGTCACTTCACACATCTTCCTGTTTCTGGTAGAGGGATGGCTTTTATGTGTAAAAGTTGAAAAGGGAATATGTTCTGATTTTTTTTCACGAGGTCTATTTTCTACACTTGTTATCAGGGGATCAAAGTTCAGTGCCATGGTCTTCCAGCTGGATCTCAGACCTGCTTGAATCAACGTACCACAGATAGTGATTACAAATATACATTTATCAGAAGGGCTGAAACACAGCATTGCTAATTTGTGCTAAATTCATGCTCAGCCTGCTGAAAAGCCATATTAGAGAGGGGAAAGATGCAAGACATTCTTCGGGTTTTTTTTTTAGATAAGATAATGCAAGCTGACTCAGCCAAAGAACATAGCTTATAATTTGTCCTGTACTTCTCCAACAATGAATGTTTTTAGTGTGTGGTGTTTTAAAGTGTGCCTTACATGCACTGGCAGTTAAGATGTTGATATCATTTTCTTTTCACACAATCTAAACATAAAAAAAAGGAAAAGTTTTTTGTTTTTTTTAAACTGCCAATAAACACAACTTTTAAACTGATGTTCCTCTCTTTACCCGATTCAAACATGTCTGTAAAATATGTCCTGTGGTGACTTTATTACACAGTTTACTGCATAGATGTCATTAACTGTCTTTATTTGTCCTCTTAACGTGTGGAGCCATAATCCATACCAAAAGTTTTACTGCTGTGCAACTATTAGTCTTGTCTGTCTTCAGCTCTACTTATGGGTTTCCCAATGTTACGTTAATTATAAGACTGAAGAAAAAAGTAATGAAAGAAAGTACATATTTAAGATTTTATTTTAAAACTACTTGAGGCAACATAAAATATAGAAAAATCAAATATACAGGTGAAAGAAAATGTTTAGCTGCATCTTCAGAGGCTTCTCCTTCGACCGGTCTGTTCTCCATCAGCTCAGTGCCATTTTCCTGGTTGTTGCCCCGATAAAAAAGAAATCGTTCTACTGGAAACACTGAACAGTCAGTCTCTGAGCTTTGTGCTTCAACCTCCAGCAGAGCGTTAGGTGAGAACAGATCGTCTCCCCGTTTGGTCTTTCTGCTCCAGTGTCCTCTCCCCATCAGTTTATCATGATGAAGTTTGATTTGCAATGAGCTGAAAAACAGGGAGTTTACATTATATTCATGAACATATCTTTGCTTATATAGTAATAAGTTAACACATTTAAAAACAGATGTTATTTTCCCAGTCTTTACCGTTTGTCTGAAAACCACCACCTTATTTTTGAGTACGTGCAAAGCTCTTGTTTGTTGACCATGGCGTCCTCACTTCATCAGATTATCCTTGAGTTAAAATGTTAGCAGGTCACTTACATAGCCGTGGGGACATGTTTCAAATGGGGGGTGCTGTGGGGATGACACCAGGGCTGGTTCTGACCAATGTGCTGCCCTATAGGCAAGATTTTAGCTGGCAATGAAAGACCAATACACTACAAAAAGAGAAACATATTGACATGTTGGACAGTTTATATAACAAGGCTTCAAATTTATTTAGTATTGTAACATGTTTTAATTGGAGGGGTGGACTCCACATCCTCTAGGGGGGTCCGGGGGTGCCCCCCCGGGAAGATTTTTTTAACATTTTAATGTCAAATGCTTCAATCTGGTGCACTTTGAGCGCCCAATTACTAGACTGATCTAGAGGGTACAACAGATCGGTTTGCATTTTATTAATCAAATAAGTATGTGAACATTTCCAATAACCTACCATAGCCAATAACAAATAAATGTAACTTATTTTATTTGTGTTGTTCATTCATATCTTATTTTACCAGTTAACATTTATTTATTTATGCATATTTTTAAATCTCTCCAGTTTTAAACGATATTTTTGGTTTACTGTCCTATAGTATACATTGGAATGATTTCAAACCTGTTTTGATTTATCCTAATAATTATAAAGGTGTGCCTTGGAAATATTTGTTTACATAAATTGTGATCAAAACGTTTGAGACTCACTGAGATAGACTCACTGAGATAACGTATCCCCGCGGTATCCCCTCTCTCTATCTCTCTCACTTTGGCTGTGAGTTGCGGGCGCCTGCTAAGCCAACATCCCTCACTTTCATCACTACAGCGCCCATCGTACAGGGCAAATGGAAAATGTAACCGGGTTGAAAAAAGGGTGTTATCTTTACTTAATTATGAATGTTGTTACATCAAGGCTGAAAATTCGTTTTTTTGGTATTATATCTTGTGGAAGTGCAGATCCCCTGTCCTCCACCAGGGGGTGCTGCAGCACCCTCAGCACCCCTACTTCCCACAACCCTGAAACCAAGTCAAAGTTAGAGTATTAGGTCAATTCTCATTTGGTAGTGGTATGATGCAAGTGTGAACCATTAATATGATAGAGTGAAACATTTCCAAATCAACTCTTCTAAAAGTAGCCTACTTTGAATTCAAAAAATGTATTTCCACATCTTGAATCAACTCAGAATACAATTCGTTTTCAAGTCATATTTAAACTATAGAATTAATGAAAATAAAGAATGAAAGCATTCAGCAGGACTGCAGGCTCACTCAAGTCTTAGTATAATTTACTTTATTTCTTGTAGTACAACGTGACTCCAATAGATGGTGGTATACTCATACTTTTGGTTTCATGTCTGGTTGTCTGGTTTGGTGTCTAGAAAGCATGGTCCAGTAGTTAAGTCAAACTGTACACTTGTATTCTTCCCAATCTCTCCATGCAGGATCACAAGGGGTGAACATAATGGAGCACACCTTTTAATATATTATATATATATTAATATGTAATATTCTATATTTAATCTGATGCAGTAACACCAAAAAACCAGAGTCTGATAAAACACCACAGAGTTTGGAAAACTCATGCTTTAAATTAGTATTACAGTATGTAAGGCTGTTCTATTAGATTTAATTGTCAGGTGTCTGGGTTTTTTTTGCACAGCTCCTGTAGGAAAACAAATAACATAGGCTAATTATATTAAGTCAGATAAAAATTATCTGAAGCCTAATACAGAACAAAAAAAAAAAATCTGTTGCCCCTCCCTGCAGGTGTTCTCCTCTGAGTGATAACCACCATGTTAATTAGGCCAGTGAACACCTCAATGAACGAATGGAAAATTATTCTTTGTCTGCCCTGTTGTAGTGGAGCAACACACATGTTAGCAGAACATCAACACTCCAACAGATAAACAATGAAACAGGTCAATAGCAAATATTGGACACCATTATTATATTATAGTTATTATTATATTTGTTTGTATTAATGTTATTATTAATCGTCAATATTTATTGCCACAAGATGACTATGACATTGTGATCCATGTTATTAAGGGGTGCGTAATTCACAGCACATGGTGTGAACATGTGTACCCTTTACGCACAATTCTATCAAAAATAAAACCTGACTATAGATCGACAACTACGACATAGACAGCTATAAATCATGTTTCAGGAAATACAACAACAAAAATCGTAATATTTGTAGTCACAGTGTTGCTGTGTCTCTTTTCCTCCAACAATATCTTTGTTCATCGCTGTGTACAATCTGAGCGCAACATGCGGCGCGGTGGTACCGGGTGGAGTCATCCCCCTTGTTCTCACATGTGCTCCGCCCGCGTGCGCTGATTGGATTGCAATGTACCCCGGCTACCACCACTGTATGAGAGGCTGTGTGTGTTTTTTCTCACCCGTAAGAAACGCCCACCCATATGACCGGTAAAGTCAGTTCAAACTGAAACACGCTGCCTGCACTCAGACTATCCAGGAGATGTATGGAGTAGGGACGATACCTCTGACTGAGCTACATAATTTTTTTAAAACCCTATTAGAATTTAAGTCAGGTTGCGTCATTTAAATATCTTTCCATGAATGAATCTGACATTATTCTGTGTCATTTCAATCCTATACATTTATCAAGACCTGTATTGGAATCTGCTGAGTGCGCTCACTGGATGCTTTGGGCGAACAGGTGGCGCATCTCCGGTTCCCTTAATTTGTTAGTAGGGGCAAGACGCAGACAGACCGGACTTGGCGCACTTTGCCGGACGTTAAGCATTTAATTCCCGCCTCTAAGGTGGGAGAGGGACACGCTGCGTACTTTTAACATTTGATAAGAGAGCTGTGATGCCGGTTGCAGACGGCGCCATGGTAGTAGACAACAGCCACGGGTTATATGAGGGAAAGACCCCAAATAGTGCCGGGAATGAGAACATCCTCCCGGCCTCATGCAGTCCTGCGGCGGAGATCCTGAAGAACTTCTATCACACAAAACGGGTCGGGAACTATCTGATCGGGAGGAAGCTGGGAGAAGGGTCCTTCGCCAAAGTTCGAGAAGGTCTCCATGCCATGACTGGGGAAAAGGTAAGACTGTGGGGTCACTAAGTCTAGATGCAACATGGTTTGGTTAAATGACTTGTAGCTAGTGCATGTTGTCGTTCTTGATTTAACAATATTATAGGCCTATTCTATTTATTTTGATTCTATCACATGCCACACAATTCAAGTTAAATGTTATACTCCTGACTTCTTGAGCTTGGAAAAAAAAACTCTTGTGAATTAATTAACTTTTTTCTTTTGGAAAACTAGTTTGTTCTGACTGTTATAGCCAATTTATTTCTTATATATATATATATATAAGAAATAAATCTATAATAATAATAATCTATATATAGATTATGGGTGGCATGCAGCATGGTGCATTTTGGTGTTTCACATTTCCATCAGTGGACAGTGTCTGCTGTCTATTGACTCATACATGCCTGTCAACCGAGAAAAAACCCTCACCTGTTTACATTGACAGTTTAGCCATACATTTGTGTGCAATGTATTCCTAGACTTCTTGGAGAAAGTGTTGTTTGCAATGGAAGGCTTTGTTAATGAGCTCATGCAGCACCACCAGCTGCTGAACTCACCATATGCCCAGCAGGGTTTGTTTTCTAGCCAAGCTCCTGTAACAATATTTACTTTGTGTGTGTGGGAGAGAAACAGGAAGAGCTGCCTGTGTTGTCCTTACATATGTTGGTACCTAGCTGTGCGGTCTGTTTTTTTTCCTGAACCTTCCTTTGTCTGCTGGTGGTGGTGAGCTCACCACTGTGGGCGCGCGCAAGCCTATGATAGGAACAGAGAGGGAAATTGGCCGACCTATGGGAGAGCAGAGCTGCTACTTGCATATGAAATCATGTCGTTGATAAATGGGCTTCAGCCTCATTAGGATTCTGCCAGCGCGGGGCTTTGATATGGACCACCATTGGCCACTGGTCGCCTTTGTCTCCTCAGGCTGTTTTTGAGGGGCAGCCAGAGCATTTGCATATTGGAAAACAAGTACCCCCTTTTTCCTCAGGTGTCCTTGCATGTAGACCTATGTCTCTTTGTATATGTACAACAAAATATATGCCACTGAATATATTTAGCATATTAGACATTATCTTATCCTGCATGTGGCCCACCTCCTCCTCCCTTCCTGTTTGCTGTGCGGAGAAAGAAAGCGCTCCTCTCCTCTTCCCTCCCTTTGTTGAGGATGATGCAAACACTGGCAATCACACAACCAAGCAGAGCACATGGTCTCTCTCTCTCTTTACACTCTCTCTCTCTCAGTCAGGGTCAGGCTCTTGGAGGGGGGCGAGGGGAAGTGAGTTTATTCAAGCAAACATAGTAAGGGAAAAAGAAAATACAGTAAAGGGCCCTTTTTTTTTTTTAGCATCCCTAGAAAGCCAGTGAGGATGCGGGGATGAGAGAGGGTCTGTGTTTTCAGACAAGGGGGGTTTGAAAGTGAGGAGAGGTGAGGGATGGGGATGTCATGGTCAGGGGGCTTGGGAGGTCACATGCACATGTTTTTGATGTCTGTAACCCACTTTCCCCTCTATACCACCCCACCTCCCCCGTTTCTGTCTGAGGGGCGCCTGATAAACAACTGAATCCCCAGTAGCCCCCCGGCTGGGCACACCCCTCCCCCTCTATATCCCCAACCTCCCCCTCTTCACATATAGAGTAACCTACTGTAAATACAGTGCCCCATCCCCCCCCTCCCTACACACCCCTTCTCTCATCCACGCTGCTTGGCGTAAACATGGGCTATACAGTATATTACTGTATTGTGACAGTTCAACACACACACACACACACACACACACACACACACACACACACACACACACACACACACATGTATATATACGGCCAGGTTTAATGAGCAGTTGTAAAAAGGTTTTCAGAGGTGAATCAATTATCAGAGATGAAAGGACGAAGGTATAAAAGAAAGACAAGCTGAAGGACAGAAGAAAGAGGGGACATACACACAGCCACTTCGGCCCTCACCATTTCATTAATGGATATGGTGATTAGCTTCACCGGTCATGCCTTTCCATGTCTGTAGGCTCTCCTTGAGATGATTTGCAGTGTATGGTAGCTATGCTCTTGAACTCAGTCTAGACAGGATACAAGGAGACACACGGGCAGAGGATGAAATAAAGGAGATGGGTATGTTATTGAATGTAATTAGCCACAAAGGGACGTGTTTGTCATAAACAAGATGTTCTCCGGGTTTTATGAGAAGTCTGAAGGTTTTTCCTCCAATGAGACAACAAGGGCAGAGAAACATAGAGTGAAGTCCTTGGGATGAGTAATTGAGGAAAGAAAACTTAACACATATGCCCATAAATCTTTACTTCACATCCTATTGAATCTGTGCCATTGAGTCAGTGTCCCTCTTTACATTTCTGTGTATTAAGCTACAACTAAACTCCGGGGCAAATGGGGAAATATCATCTGTCCATTTGGCCTTAGCGCCTTCTCAACAGATATAGGGTAACATTTGTTTTTCCCTCGGTTTATGATGGTTCAGTTACCCCTCCAACACACACACACACATACCTCCCCTTCTGCTGCCGCCTCAGGGCCCTATAGCGCCTGGGTTGCCCCACATTGGGAGCAGCTGTGAGGGAGAGGTCAGTGTCGAGTAATATAGTCCGCAGTGGAGACTGAGAAGCTTGTCACCTGTTACACTGCAACTCTCTTTGAAACCTCTTCCGAAAGCACAGCAGTGAACAAGTGCTTCATTCTCCACGGGTATTATTCACAATATCATGTGGCGCAAAACAGTGCGTTCCTCATCTAATAGCTTTTTCTTCTCCTGTCGCATTTTTCTCCAGGTGGCGGTGAAGGTGATTGACAAACGGAAGGCCAAGAAGGACTCGTATGTGACCAAGAACCTGCGGAGGGAGGGCCACATCCAGCAGATGATCCGTCACCCCAACATCACGCAGCTGCTGGACATCCTGGAGACGGAGAACAGCTACTACCTGGTGATGGAGCTGTGTCCCGGCGGGAACCTCATGAACCTCATCTATGATAAGAAGCGCCTGGATGAGAGGGAGACTCAGAAATACATCCGTCAGTTGGTGCTGGCCGTTGAGCACCTGCACAGGGCGGGTGTTGTGCACAGGTAAATAAACACTTACAAATAATGAGCCATACACACGTTGCTTTTAAAGATAGAGCAGAATATAAATGTCTTTAGATATATTGTCAGTGCCGTCCAAAGGGCTTTGTGCTATTTGTGGGTTGAAGCTGAATTTAATTATCCTCTTTCTCAAAGTGTATGTTAAGTCCGTATTGTGCACTACTGTTAATCCACGAATAACCATATTTGCCATGCTTTGAGAGGTTTTAAAGAAAGCGGCTAAGCATTTCTTAAAAACTAAATACGATTTAAAAAAGAGCTGAATTTCCATGCAGTGTGCAGGGATCATTCCAGTGCCTTTCTCCTACAAAATATGGTTACATCTTTTGATGAAATGTTTGATTATATTTAGGGCGGAAAAAAACCATAAACTGCATCAGAATGAAACTCCAGATATACAATACACAAAGCTCTTCCCAGGAAAATTTTATTATTTGTCTGGGACTCTGGGAACTAAATTTCTATCATGGTGAGAAGACCCATGTAGATAACTGTATAACAGGATTTATAAGGAGGGATCTGAAGGCACACAATAGACCCCGAAAATCACCCAGCGTGACCCTCATTGAAACGGGGGGTGTTGACCTCCCCTACTGCTTGTGTATTGTGTGATGATGTGTGGCTTAGATAAGTGTTAACACTGAATCTTTGTTTTACAGGGATCTGAAGATAGAAAACCTCCTGTTGGATGAGCAGGACAATATAAAGCTCATAGGTAATTCAAACACTAACATTTACAGAAACAAACTCACCTCAAAACTCTCTTTCTATTAAGAATACATTCAATAAATTCCTTTTTAAACACACACACACACACTTCCCATAGCAAAGAACACGAACAATATTAAAACAGCTAATGCTAAAAGAAGGCCTTTGATTTCAGTTACTTTGCAAAATTAAAATATTTAAAGAGCCAAGAGCAAGGACAACATAAAGCTCATAGGTAACTCAAACAGTAACATTTACAGAAACAAACTCACCTCAAAACTGTCATTACAAAGAAATGCAAGTTATTTTCTGTATTTTCTTGCCTGACATCCCACGTGTTAAAGAGCCAAGAGCAATTACACATCCTGTTAAATGCTTTACGAGCTCTCACCATAGTGCTAATCTGCTTCCATTTGTGTGTGTAACGCTTCGAAAGGGGCGACATGTTTAACAAGTGGCCTGAAAAGAGGGAAATAAAAGCCAGAAATAACATTCACCCCCACCTCTTCTGTCCTTCAGATTTTGGCCTCAGTAACTGCGCAGGCATCCTGGGATACTCAGACCCCTTCAGCACGCAGTGTGGAAGTCCCGCCTACGCCGCCCCCGAGCTGCTCTCCAGGAAGAAGTACGGGCCCAAAGTGGATGTTTGGTCCATGTGAGTGTCTACTTCTTTCTTATAGAACGTATGTCGGTAAATATCAGTGTATTTAAATACATCTATTCCACATGCATTCCGAGCTGAAGTGTGTTTTTTGATCTCCCAGTGGTGTGAACATGTACGCCATGCTGACTGGGAATCTGCCGTTCACCGTGGAGCCCTTCAGTCTCCGAGCCCTGCACCAGAAGATGGTGGACAAGGAGATGAACCCTCTACCTCCCTCACTTTGCACAGGTAAAAACTCAACACATTCATGCACAACTGTTTAATAAATTCTCAACAGAAAAGCTGTTCCTAAAGTCAAGAAAAAATGTATCAATCAACAAACACATACTCTATAAATCACTTCATGGCACTGCAATCGCCCCCAGGGTAAAACTGACACGAGTGTGCTGACAAATATATTAGACCTTAAACCAAGAACATCTCAGGTGAGGTTTGACATGAGGGGGAAAGAATGTTGTCGGTCCGGTGTCAGGGAAGAAGGAAAATAGTTCATGATGACATTTTTTGATAATAAGATGCTGGAATGAAATGGAGGTAATCTTTCGTTGTGAGTCTGTGGTTTGGATTTCCAAAATGCCTTAATGAAATCCCTCTGACATAACATTTTGTTTTGGTCACTCAAGTCAAAAAACAAATTAGAAAACTAAAGAAGTAGAGAGAGAACTGTGCAATCAGATACGTCTTAAATCAACAAAGGTCAATCTTCTTCTAAGTTAGACTCCTTGATTAGGACTCTATATTACATTTGTTTGAAATCCTCTTAAGAGAAATGCAGCCGTACTTAGAAGTAAGCAAACCGTTGAGTGGGTTAGAGGAAATAAAAAACCTCGATGAGTGAAGGGGTGCAAATGCGCATGTAAATCAAACTGGAACTGATTCCCCAATGACAAGCCTTTCTAAAGAATGAACCTGTCAACTACGGCAGAATCCTTCCAGTCAATAATTGAACGCAATGGAAAATCTGAATGGTATTTCTGTATTGTTGAAATTCAAGAACATTGGTGGTAAGTAAAGAAAACATCAGGTGAACCGTAATTGCGTTAGATAATAATTAGAAACAGGTTTCAACTAACCGGTTCCTGTTCAGTAACTGGCGCTGCATGAAAAGGATACATCGATAATGTTATTTGTCCCAGATGTAATTGGCAGAGTTCTAGTGATACCGCAATTGGGTAAGTTCATAATTCGAAAAAGGTTTTACCCAACCGGTTCCTGTCAAGTCGCTGGCAATGCATGAACAGTATAAATGTATAATTACGTGTACTATTATTGTTATTTGCCTCAGGGTGACCTGTCAGAATTCCTGAGATTGCACGGCACAATTCCTCCTAATCTTCCATTGAAGCCATGATATATTTGTAGAATTAGAATATATTTAATCAGCCATATTGAAACGAATTATTCCTACTGAGCTTTAACTAATATTCTGTAAAGCGAGGAAATAAAGGAAACATTTTCGCAAGGTGTGTTAAAGCATCGCTGGAAATAGTGGCACTCACCACAATTTCTGCTTGCGTCACGAGTCTCACTCTAATACCAATAACAGATGACTTAACCAGGTTATGTAACTTATTGTTAAGAACCCAATGACGAGGATGTGTCATCTTATCCGTCTTATATTATGAGAGCGGATAAGGAGGATGAATACCAAGTTTATGCGTCACATTGCTGAAGAGAAATATGTCATGCAAAAATAAGTTTCAGTATTGACAAAACTTTCTTCTTTGTACAACAAGTTGAAGAAGCTTATGAATATTTATTCTCCCTCTTTCTGCCTTAGCTGCCATCTGTCTTCTGAAGAAGCTTCTTGAACCAGATCCAAACAAGCGTCCCAACATCCATCAAGTGATGGCAGATTCCTGGCTACAGCTGGCCAACAAGAACACAGGCACACCGTACCTCAACAGGTAGGCTCACGCACACTTCGAATTTGTATTTTTGCTTATGTCATCTGTTTAAGCATAGAGAAACCTTTTTGCCTTTTATTTTATTTATTTATTTTAAAGCATCACAAGGCATTAACTTTCTCTCTCTCTTCTGTATCCAGGATCCACATTGAAGAGATAAACCACACAGTGTTGCTACATATGACGGAGAAGATGAACTACAAACACAGTGAGGTTCTGAGTGCCGTCCTCACCAACCGCGCCTGCCACACTCTGGCTGTCTACTTCCTCCTCAACAAGAAAATGAAGAGACTATCTAAAAAATACAGGGTGAGGAGATCCTTGCTAACATCTGTCGAAAGTCTTTCTAATAACAGGGTGTAAAGGAAACATTGTTCAATATATTTTTTTAAAACATAATAAAACTGGAATATCATAATGACCAACACGTGCCAAGTTAGTAAAAGAACAGGTTATTCATAATTTGTGGTTTTGCCCTTTCTGTTTAGGAGATGCAGTTCCAAGAAAAGAAGAAAGGAGAAAAGCAGAAAAACGAATACTTCCAGACCCAGTGGAGGAAGCACGTCGACAAGCTCACCATCCCCCCCAAGCAGACGCCCGTTTACCTGGCTGTCGCAAAGGGGCAAAGCAAGGAGAAAAAACACCGAACAGGTGAGGGGTGAAATAAAGATAATAAGATACAGTATATGTGTTCCAAAAGTTCACCTTTATTTATACAGGGTACGTTGACTGAGCATGCATGTTCTTCACATTTACGTAGTTACCAGTTCGTCTGTCCGATCCTCAATCCATCCATCCATCAACTCCTTCCTCCGTCCATCCATTCCTTCATCCATCCATCCATCCATCCTTCCATCCTTCCAACCACCCACCCATAAGAAGAAACATCCTGGTTGCCATTCAATCGTAGGCCAAACACAAAACTTTTTGTAATTGAATTTAACTGATATCCGCCAGTTTAAATTACTAAACAGAATAGAACAGAAGTAAAGATATTCTAAGGAATTACTCTGAATTTAATCTAGCAACACAGCAGCATAGTCAAATACATATTTCGTAAAAGACTGGGCCTGTGATTTTCAACAAATAATGATAGGTGGTCCTTAACACTACTTGGAGAAGTTATAATGAAAACGGGGGCAAAGCTCGAGCCTAAGCTCATTTTCCCATAAGAGGTACTGCCATGCCATTTTATAATATGTTTCTTAATGCTCTTAATGTCTTTGATTTTTGTAAAGCACTTGGAATTGCCTTGTGTTGAAAGGTGCTGTATGAATAAACTTGCCTTGCCTTAGGGTAAAGAAAAAGTCATAGGCTGTTCCAGATACAGCATGTCATGTCAGGTCGATCTTCACACGGATTAAATCTGTACTGAATGTTCTTATAGCTTTTACACCTGCTTGTTACATACTCACAGATCACGTAGAATGTAGACATGTAGGGACTCGGCTGAAAGTACACGCAGTTCTCATATCCTTACTCACTTGTACATGCAGTGAAATAAAAATGCAAATATGTGAGTGACAATATTCCAAAACTTAAATTGCTTCTCATTTCCTCCTCAGGTATATTGCGTGCCTTAACTGGTGGCCATCGTAATTCACCTCTGGCCCCACCCGGAACAGTCGCCTCTTCCTCCATGGAATATCTCGAGATCCAACCTCTCTTTTCCAACACACCTAAGCAACGGAGGCGCTTGGCCACCCTCCCACAAGTCAATACGAGCCCCGAACACAACATCCCTGCCCCGCCGGCACCGTCACCGATCGGCATGCATTCCTTTGGCTCGCTCTCCAAAGCTGAGCAAATTGAAGACACCCCCAGCTCGCCCTGGTACAAGCTGACCAACGGGACCCTCTCCCCGCCCCGCCACGTCTCTGCCTTCCAGCCCGACTCCTCCTACTTGAAGAAGGCCACGATCCCGAGTCCTCCCGTCCTAATTGTCAACCCACAGCCCAAGAAAAGCATCTCGTCAGATTGGGGCGCGTCTTCCGACACCAGCGGCAGCCCGCCCAGCACCATAGGGAGCCCCCCAGGGAGCTCGGCATTCAGCCCTCCGAAGTCCGCCTTCAGTGCCCTCAACCCCACCTCAGCATTCAGCCCTCCGTCCAACAACAGCAGCAGCAGCGATCCAGACAGCCCGACGCACCGTAGCAAGTTCCCCTCCATGGGAATCGGACAGATCCTAAAGAAGAAAGTTCAACTGCAGCCGTTCTCCTTCCGGCCAGAACAAGTGGTTGAGGAAGTGGTGTCCCCCCCTCCTTACCCCATGCAGACTCTCCTCTGTGCTTCAGGTGCACTTAAGACCCTTTGCTGAGGGGAACATGGCAAGAATACAAAAAAAGTAAAGACAGACTGAACTCAAGGCCCCTCTCAACATTTGATAAGTTGAAGAGGTCTTCCAGAGTGGCCTTTTGAACTGTGAACTGTCCCTTTATTGCAACTGAGCCACTTTTCAAGACAGACTTGAAAAAAAAAAAAGAAGGATAAAAAGGAAGTTTGAGTGACAGTAACAAATTGTTTATCTCTAGTCTCCACTATCATAATGTAATAAGAAGTGATGACGCTGAGAATATGAGACTGAAAACGGATCTTTAAGCAATGAATTAACCTCACTGTGGCCTAGATAGAGTGGACATGGGACGTGAACACACACACGCACACACACGCAAAACACTGTATTATAAACTGAGTTGAGAGGTACTCTCTTATGTAATATTGCTGTAACTGGTTACTAATTGAGCCGTAGACTGATTCTCACCAGCTAACAGACCCCAACTCTTACCCTTACCTTGATTACATGTTTAAATGTTTTGTCTGTGAAAACACTCTCTAAAAACCCGTTGACCTCCAGCCAGCTGCCACTGTATCCTCAAAGCTGACTGGACGATGAAGCTCACTGCACTATTCCTTGAAACCAAAACCTGTAGTAACAATACATGTTTGTACCATCTCTTACCTCACTGCATTATTCATACTTTAATGTAAAACAGCAGTCAATTGTGACTTGCTTGTGTGGATTTTGCCACAGTGTTGCAGTGTCCGAGCGTTAGTGCCATTAGTATCCACACACCGAGACAGAAATAGACACAGAGAGAAGACTCGTCCTCTCATCTTTTATAGTAGTCTCATAAACTATCACTCAACACTGATAATAACTCACAGCTATAACCTTTTATATACTAGTGTTACATCATCTCTACGACCCACAGAGAAACTGTCAAAGTCTTCGTTATGACTTTCACAGCCCGTTCATAGTAAGCTTTGAGAACAAAAAATAAAGATAAAAAAATAAAGAATCAAAAGCCTTATGAAACTTGTGAACCTCGCCAAAGGCTGAGGTAATGAACGTGGGAGAATCGTGTAACATCCATGAAAAGAATTCACTTCCTTTTGTCTTAATGATGTAGTTTGTGCAATAGTCTTAAGTGTTAACTGCAATGATGAGTGTTTGCCAAGAGCTCCCTGAGAGTAACCTGAAAGTTGTGCTTGTAAATAACAGTACGACTCGTGTGTTCCTGTCACGTATTCAGTTTGGTACAAAGGGGTTTAAAAAAAAATAATTGTAGAACCGACATATTTGCACCTTTGCTCCATAAAAAAGTTTGACAAAAAGGCTTCCACTGGCACATGAGGCTTCTCACTGTTAAGATCATATTGAATCTCTTCCTGTCTAAATGAAAAAAATTGCATGCAAAGTTTCACAAGTCCAACCGTCCGTGAACATTTGAAATGACGTCTTTTTACCTTTTTTGTGGTTGATACTGAGATTGATACAGACTTGAGGGGGGGGGGGGTCTTTTGTAAGATTT